TTCCTCGGGTGGCCCCCCCCTCAAAACCACCAGCCCCCCCTCCCGATAAAAAATGAACGGTCCCTTATGACTCCAACTCTAACTCTGATTCCAATGCAGGTAAAAACCAACATTTGGCAATCAATATCAATCGATTTCCAATAACAATCATTGGATTAGTATTGATTGCCATTGATATTGATTTCATCAATACATGAATAAGACCTCATTTCGAAACTGCTCAAAGGAGTTGCAGTCAATATGCGTATGTACATACTTACCCATCAAAATTAGGACTTGTGCACAATAGAATATTCTCTTTGTTGTTCTTAAGCCTTAACACTCTTTCGCAGTTATCACATCCAGAATATTCAAACTGTTCCAATGTCTGATGAAAATAATCAAAATCACAATGACATGTATGAATCATGCAAGCTTTTATACTTTTTTTCATAACTACAGTTTATGACTATTGTATGTAGAACACATACAACCCTGATGTCTTCATTTTTGGCTTATGTCTACAAAAAATACAGTACTAACTCAGAGTATTGGGAATTTGAAGGTATGTTAACCATTTAATTATGAAAGTGGTCAGCTTCTTATGATAGCTATGGGGTAAAAAGCTAAAAGTCATGAGCTTATAAGATTTATATGATAAAGCTTTCATACATGCCTTAAAAATGCTTGGCACGGGAAAAAGTGAATTAAAATAAAGATTTTACCTTAATTAGAGAACACATAAGGCAGGCTCTAAGGTTTCGAAGTTCTTTTGGTACCGTTTCCATGTCCTTTTGGAAAAAATTAGAGACACAAATTACTCAAATCTTCGCTAAAAATCATTCGGATCCTATACTCCGAGCCCGCGGTGCAGTACTTATTGCGATCAATCCAAATAACCCATGCGCAAACGAACCACAGGTAGCCCAACGTCGATTGGAAGATCGCGGGCTCACATTTCGACCAACAGGTCCAACATGGCGGACAAAACTCCGGCTAAAAAAGTTCTTAATTTTAACGTAGGCGTTCTTGGTCATGTAGACAGTGGAAAAACTGCTCTAGCTAGAGCTTTGAGCACTACAGCATCCACTGCCTCGTTTGACAAGAATCCTCAAAGCAAAGAAAGGGGTATAACTCTTGATCTGGGTTTCTCTGCTTTCCAGGTTCCTTTCCCTCAACACTTGAAATCTGACTCCAAGGACAACGAAAGCTCGTACGATTTTCTTCAGTTTACTCTAGTGGACTGTCCTGGCCATGCCTCTTTGATTAGAACAATAATAGGTGGAGCACAGATAATAGATCTAATGATGTTGGTTATAGACGTGACCAAAGGAATTCAGACTCAGACTGCAGAGTGTTTGGTGATCGGCGAGATCTTGTGCGAGAAAATGGTCGTGGTACTTAATAAGGTTGACCTCTTGAAAGAGGATAAAAGGGAAAGTTTGATAGAAAAGGTACGACCGTAAAGACAAATGATAGACCAATTTTATTTGGGTGTATTGTTTTACCTTTTCAGACCATGTGTCATTCCCTTGAGTATGATTTCTTTATTCACAAATAACACCCTTAATACAATGTTGATGAAAATCTTAAAGACTGACACATGATATGAAATGGGAAAACAATAGTAGAGTAGTTATAAATCTCTCCCTTGATTTTTCTGTGGGCTTTCCAGTTTTCCTCTCTTCATAAAACTGCTAAATTCTGCTTGTATACAGTATAATAATGATAAAATCGGATTAACAGTGGATTCCACAGATTGGCTCTTCTTCCAATTGGAATTTAGAAGTTGATTTTTGCAGAGGGAGGAAAGCCGGAGAGGCGAGTGCTCTCACCTCTACACCACCCATGCTTCCCAATGTATGGCATCACAAGGATGTTATTTTTCAGGTTTAATATTGCTTTAAGTTATGAAAGATTTTATTCCCAATCAGAAAAAGAACCCCAATTCCAATTATATTTTAAATTTTCAGATGAAAAAAAGAATTAACAAGATTTTAGACACCACACCCTTTGCCAAGAGCCCAATCATCTCAGTTGCTGCTAAACCAGGAGGCCAAGAGGACACAGAAACTGAATCAATTGGTATCATTCAGCTGGTAGAAATGCTTACATCAATGACTTATATTCCTCAAAGAACATCTTCTGGATCTCTCCTCTTTGCTGTTGACCACTGCTTTTCTATCCGTGGACAAGGTACTGTAATGACAGGAACAGTCCTTAATGGTAGCATTAGCTTGAACGATACAATAGAAATTCCTTCTCTCAAGATCACCAAGAAAGTCAAGTCCATGCAGATGTTTAAGCAGTCTATAAAGTGCGCCACTCAAGGTGACAGAGTAGGAGTATGTGTCACACAGTTTGACCCTAAACTTTTAGAGCGAGGACTTGTTTGCAGCCCTTCAAGTGTACCGCTTGTTTTTGGTGGAATTGTTTCTGCCAAAAAGATTGGTTATTATAAAAGTGCAATCACTGCTAAGTCTAAATTTCACATCACTGTTGGCCATGAGACAGTCATGGGTAGAATTCAAGTATTTGGGTTACCAAAAGGCGAGTCGCCAGGAGAGGATGGCTTCAGTTTGGACAGAGAGTATATTTATCAAGAAGAACTGGTCAACCTTTCAAAAAGCCAGAATGAAACAGAAAACAAAGAGGAAAGTGTGAAGACGACATCAAGTGCAGGAGATGACCTTTCAGACCATCAGTGGTTGATTATTGAGTTTGAAAAGCCAGTTGTATGTCCAGAGAATTCACTATTGATTGGTTCTCGCTTGGATACCGACATACATCTCAACATGTGCAGAATAGCATTTCATGGAAAGCTTCTTCTCCCATTTACAGACAAAGACTATGCAGATACTGTGCTGCCCCAGCTGAAGGTCTTCAAGATAAAACACAGGGAAGGAATTGTAGAGAGAATAGTTGATGACTACACTGTGATTGGCCGATCTCTCTTTAAAAAGGAAACCAATATTTCAACCTTTACTGGTATGAAAGTGAGTCTCTCCATAGGAGAAGAAGGCGTCATTGAGGGAGGCTTTGGTCAAAGTGGTAAGGTGAAAGTCAGAATTCCTGCAGGGCTTAAAAAAGAAACCATTCAACAGCTTCAAGCATCGGGAAAGAAGAAGAACACCAAAGGAAAAGCAGTAGAATCTTCATCTTCGACTTCAGGGGAATCAACAGGAAGTAAGGAAGCTATCAAAATAATCTTGAAATTTAGAAGGTATATACATGACAAAAAGAAAAGAATGATACAAACTTAACAAAATTTAATGATTTTATAGAGTGCAAACAATATAGAGTGCAAACAATATAGAGTGCAAACAATATAGAGTGCAAACAATATANAGAGTGCAAACAATATAGAGTGCAAACAATATAGAGTGCAAACAATATAGAGTGCAAACAATATATCCGTGAAACACTAATTACTAAATTGTTCAAAATTATTAGTGCTAATTAAACAATAGAAAACAATGGAATTTGCATGAAATTGTGCTATTTAGTATTACTAAAGTTTCACGGTTATATCGTTTGCACTCTATCCGTGAAACACTAATTACTAAATTGTTCAAAATAGTGCTAGTTAAACAAAAGAAAACAATAGAATTAGCATAAAATAAGTTAGTATTACTAATATTTCACGCATATATTGTTTGCACTTTAATATACATCAGCCATAAATAACAAATGTAGGTAGGTTATGTAATAGGTAACTTTCAATATTCTAGTTGAGTGGTCAAGCATAAGTGTTATTCAAGTCAAGGCACTGGGGAAACAAAAATGTATTCACAATATATTATTCTAATGTTTTCCTGGAACCTCGACTTAGATTATTTTGTGCTTGATCACTTAACCAGAATATTGAAAGTTGGCTATTGTAATTATTACGAGTATGAAATTTAACTAAATTTGTTTTCTTTAAAAAATCTCGGTTGACAAGATTTGATCATCAAACAGTTCTTATTGTTTTGTATGCAGCAATATTGTGCTGTACTAATAATGACAGTGTCATGTGTTCTTGTTAATTTTTACCATGTTGTGATTTGTAAACGTGATTGTATCGCTTGTATTACAGAATAATTAATGAAACAGTCAAAATTAATAACAAAGGTGCCATTGAAGATTATTTCAGGGGGTGGCTGTTACGTCAAAAGATTTGACATTTCTATTTGTTGTTATTTTTAAAACTCCAAAGGGGGTGGCAATGTACCCCTGGATCCACCATTGATCAGTTAATCATGCTAGATTGTGATGAAATCTTCAAGGAAGGAGTAAGAGGAATGTACTTGAATCTGTAGCTTAAAAAGATTGCTAAACAAAAATTCCAATTGTTTATTTTTTATATACAGTATCATAGAAATTGAATAATTATTTAATACTTCATATTATAACTCATACAAACTTTTGAAGAATATATATGCATTAGAAATAAGCCTAACTATTTGTTAATAAAACACTGTAACTTACATCAGAGGAGTGTTTGCCACAGGTACAAAAAAATACAGTAAATTACAAAATTTATAAGACAAAAGAAGTAACAGACTGGTATGATTGACCATATTCTCTTCAGAATCCAACATTCTCTTCAAAATCTGACCTGATAAATATCCAAAGTTCTAAGGTTTTTCCTTTCTCCACAAAGATCAACTCCTAAATTTAAATTGGAATTATCCAGGGCTGAGTTGTTCAAAGCTGGATTAGCACTAATCCAGGTTTAACTCTATAGGTCTTATTAAGAGTTAACCCAGGATTAGCACTAATCAGGCTTTGAACGACTGGGCCCAGTAGAATAAGAGATAGGAATAAATAATAACCACTGTTAATTTCCATTTATTTTATTTCTTTCAAAAACCCCCTTAGTTTCCCTCGTTCACTTACAGCACGTCCCATCACATGTTAGAAATCCTACAATTATTAGCCATTGCAAAAAAATAAGGCTTTGGTGGACGTCATTCAAAGTATTTATATGACATTGTTGAAAAACAAAAAGTTTTTCAAAGGCACGTGCCTATGGAATGTCATGGAAAATGCCTTGATGTACACCATAACTATTAACCTCATTGTGATAGAAAATTGTACAATTTTGTACATGCCATTAGGAAGCTCTGGTAATACAGGTGTAAATTAATGCAAATACCCTCCTTAGGACTTTGCTCAACACAGGTTGGTTAATACAGATATAAATTTGAGGTATCACAAAATAAGTTGCATTACATAGAGCGTTGTTAAATCCTGTGTCCTACATACAGTATGATAAATATAAGATTGTGTAAGAAACATTAACATGAAGGTAAGGTCACCCTACTGTTAAGTCTATTTTTTGGGGTGTTAAAAAGGCCCCCAAAAGGCATGTCCCCGGTGAGAGGCATATTGACAATTTTGACTTGGACAATAGCGAACGAGTCACTGTTGCAGCAGTTTTCCCAGTGGAAATCTTGTCACACAAGCACATTATCTGTTTTAAAAGTACTACAAGGATGAGGAGTCTTTATCAATTTTGGAAGGCGCACCTATCTACATGTAAAAGGCCACTAAGTTATGAAGGGCACATATGCCCTAGCCTTTTAGAGATGACAATCTAAATAAAAAGTGGACGCAACAGCTAATTTTTGTCTCATTGGCGAAATGCACAAATAAGAATATAAAAGTTGATGTCATTTTCTGCTGTAGTTAAGAATATCTCTCCAGTAATGTTTGTTATAATCTCCCATAAAGTTTCACATGGGCCAAATCATTGTGGATATATTAAAGATATTATCTTCCTTATCATTTGCCTTGCTACGATAATCGCAGACAGTGGTTTGAGTCAGCACAACACAGCTGTTACCAAGACAACGGGCTTTTCCTTGGCAAATTCACAGAAATTTGCTCCATATTTAATATATTGAAGTTGTGAATCTATGCAGTTTTAAAGCTCTTCAAAAAATTCAATTCTCGCTTTGGAAGTTCCAGAAGATATCTGAAAACGAAAAATTGAAATTATGATGGGTGAAATTTCACTAGCTCTAGGATGATTAAAGGTGGACCTTTTAGCAGACCTGACTCGCACTACAAGTGAGTTTCGTTTGCATTAGTTAAAAGTAATTCTACATTATCGTCAAGTCTCAACTCACGTCTTTTGCCAATAAGGAGGTAGGATGCTTTTCGTGAAACTAGACTAAGGCAAGTACGTTACAAGCTGAAACCTTTAGCTAAAGCCCCGTCTACTTATATCCGGATTTTTTGAAAACAGTTTTTCATTCAAAAAAATCTCGAATACTGCAAGTAGCGTTTTGGAATAGTTTTCGCTTTCCCCACCTATCCGTTTTCGCGAAAAGTTGCTTTTTCTAAGGCCAATCCACGAAGAACAAATTTGTTTTCAAAAATATCCTGATACGTGTGGACGGGCTAGTAATTGTTACAAGCTGAAACCTTTAGCTAAAGACATCGGTTGGCTCTACGCGTAATTTCAACAACAATCTTTTTTTAGTTGATATATTAAAATCTAACCTTTTGCAATGTCGAGTACTTATTATCTGCACCTCTAGATTGTTCGTTATGTATGCTATCCCACAGATAATGTCTATCGCTTGGTTTTAACTCCTACAAAAGGAAAAGATAAATATCAAACTAGGCACTGAGCTAATCGCCACCCGGTTAGCTCAGCGTCGGACTGTTGTGCGGGAGGTCGTGGTTCAAGCCTCATCCAGACCAACACTCAAGGTCATAAAATAACTGAGGAGAAGGTGCTGCCTTTGTAATTACATCTGCAAATGGTTAGACCTTCATGTCTTCTCAGATAAGGGCTTAAAACCGTAGGGCCTGTCTCCCAACCCTTCCTAACCTACAGTAAAATGGGGTCATTAAATAACCTGTTGAATTATTCGTATAAGAGTAGGGGATTATCTCCCGGTTCAACAGCCTATCCCAATTTGGAGGCATAATACTAATCTACTAACAATTCACACTCATGATTGTAAGCTGCACGGCTGCCATACGCCTTAATACGCAGCCCGTAAAGTCCTCCACTGGTTATAAATGTAAAGCGCATTGAGATATTTGAAATGCGCTACATAAGAAACTCCCATTATCATTATCATTAAAGTACATTTGTGGGTTACTAGGTCCTATAGGACCCACACTTTGCAATGCGCTCTGCGCTCTACGCGCCATGTTAGAAATCGTGCATGACAAGATATCAGCTTTGTCAATTTTTAAGGAATCGCTGTGATTGGGTGAATCGTGCGAAAAACGTACATGGGAAGCCATTGCAGTGTTACGATGAAGTCGTAAGTCAGGATACGGCGTACGCTTCTTCGCGAAAAGAGCTCTAAAGAAAGCGGTACTTGTCTGATAGGAAAATTTTCCATCAGCTTATATCAGACCATACCTCCAGTTCTGTTCTTAAATCACCAGGTTGCAGCTGTAGTTGTGCACTTTTATTCCTGGTAATGAAATCGTACCTAAAGAAAATACACCGCAAATAATGCAAGGAATAACTTAGAGGGGTGAGGGTAGGGGCAGTTTGGTGCAAACATAGAGAGCCCGCGTTCAGACATTTTCGCATGTGTCAGTGCTGTAGGAAGATCAAGTAAAAATTTGGAAATATTTTCAGTTAGGACTCTTAAACCGCCTCGAATCTTAAACACTTTCATTTTCACAGATTTTTTCAGGTTATTATTTTCTGAACTTTCTACTGTTTCAAACCCTCTAAAATGAAGCATTGAATTCATTACACCGAGTGAGCAAAATAAATGTTATTTCCAATCGTTTGGCTCAAGGGATGATTTAAAGTATGTATTTTAAATTAAAAGTGAAGAAAACTGTGTTGACGGTTYGAGTGCCCTTACTGTATATAATGCTTGGAAAACGTACACTGGTATTTGCCCAAATACTAATTTCATTTGTCGTGGTTCAAATAGAGTGCAATCTAAGAGAAAATGAACTAAGAGAAGGAAATTTCTGGTATTCATGCTGTAACCATCATAGGCACCGTTTGATGCTATTTTTAGAATCATTCATTTGAACCTTTGTTTTTCTGCACGCCCATACTGCGCGCGCTCTATGGAAATACAAGAAAAAGTACAAGAAAACATGAGTAAACAGGGTAGAGCGCGCGCAGAAAAACAAACGTTCAAATGAATGATTGTAAGAATATATTCTATTCTTAGAATCATTGATTCTAAGAATAGAATCGATGATTCTAAAAATAGCATCAAACAGTGCCCATGATGGGGCGCGGGAATTCCTTCTCTTAGTTCATTTTCTCTTGGTGCAAACCATATATCCTTGAAATACTACTAACTAATTAGTACAAAATAGCATCAAYGAAACAATTGAAAACAAAAGAACTAGATGTGTTTAGTTAGAGTACACTATATAAAACAAAGTATATACCAGACCTTTCTTGTTCATATTCACCATACGCTGAGCTCATTTCTCCATCTGATACTAACTGACCCACGCTTTTGCTTTGAAAGGAATCTGTTCTCCATGAAGCGGCATTACTCGTCTAAAGAATATTTCAAGCAAAGTTTCAAGTTTTGGGTAAGATGCGCTAAGGCAAAAGTACTATATACACTGCCTTTTTCAACAAAACAAACCACAAAACAAACCAAAGGTTATCGGAAACAAAGGAGATACGTCATCCAAGATTCAGAGAAAATGAACTAGACAGAATAGCTGAATTTTCGGTCAAGAACGCGGAAGTTATCGTGTCGAGATATCCAGTGTTGCATATTGTTTGTAGTTGATAAAGCCACTATAAACACCTCCATTATTCGTGTTTAGATGTATGCCAATAATTCCATCAGTCTTGGGATGACCTATCTCTTAGTCTGCTTTTGCTCTGATAACCTTTTTGAAATGGGTGTATAGCATTAAAATATTCGTTACCGGTAAAGTAGTAGCAGATGTTGACATCTCTAGAAGTCTCCGCACGGCAGCTTCTCTTGCCCTGCGCAGTAGGAATATCACACAATGAGATTATTGACTTTAAGAGGGCATGGCACGCGGAACTACCACGAGATGGAATCCAATCACATCGCGCGACATCATTGCTCATCCAATGAAAATGCTCGGACACGGCACGGTCACGGTTAAGGCACGGCACATCTACGGGTACGGTGTGTTCGGTGGAGTTTTCAAAAGTATACAAATTTTGCTCTTTGACTTAAATTTTTGTTGCTCACAGCAGAAACTCTCTCAACTCTAATAGCAACAATGCACATTTGTTGTGCGCGGAGTGGTAATGCGAGCAACATTTGCGCTGCGCATGCAACTTGCAAATCCACAATGTTGCGCGACGAGTTGCGCGACCTTTGTTGCCCGTATTGCCGCACTTTAACGTTGCATTATAAGATGGCCTCGTGTAACATGGCGTGCGGTTAGATATTTTGTTGTGGCAACACGCTGCAAGTTTTCAAATGACGTTCAAAACTCACAACATCGTTGCAATCTTTTTGTGTTGCCGTGTGCGCATTGTTACACAAAGCCAACTGTTAACGCAACGATTTTGCGCAAAAACTTGTCTCGCGTAACCGACCACCTTAATGCATTCAGCATGTTTCTTCCTATAACTAGAAATTATATGAATTTATTTCAATACAATAAAGGCTAGAATAGAATAGTATAGTGTTTACCTGGTTTCAGATTCTTGTACAACGTGCCCCATTAGTTTTTCTGTTTCTTTCGCCTTTCTTTGCATTGCCATTTTATCGTCTACTGTCTAGAATGGTCACACAGAGATTTTTAATTTTTTCAAGTGTGTGAAAACTTTCAGAGAGATATCCACAAAAAAATATCACCTAGAACTGTATTTGTTTTTACCTTCATTGCTGTTGCTCTGAGCTTCTGCAGCTCTTCTTCAGCATCTGTTGCCTTCATCTGAAGCAACGCTGCCTCCTCTTCTGCTACTCGAGCTTTTTCTGCTAAAAGTTCCGCCATTTCTTCAGCCTGCATCTGGTGTCATGAAAGAAATATAAGTTCCGCTTGATATGGGTTTTTTAGCCTGCGTTGCCAACGGTCTGCGAGGTGGTGGGGGAGGGGGAGGG